AGGCTTGGGTCTAACAGAAGATTTGGTTATGATTTTAACTTTCTTTGAAGCTTACTTTTTTCAAAAATTCCCATACCTACTCTTCATATTTCTCTTCCTGTACATTAAAGCTCTACATAATCTGTGAGGGAAGCTCTCTTACTTTTGAATATAGCTTTTAGGATTTTATTTATTTAAGTTACGTTTTCAGTTTTTTAAATGTCAATTAAATTTAACAACCTTCCCTATATATAAAATTTATACCATGTTTGTCAACGTATTTAAGATTTTTTTTTTAGATTTATGTATTTTATTTATGTGTTGAGTGTTTTGTTTGCATGTGTACACTCCTGGTGCCCACAGAGGTCAGAAGAGGGCATTGAATCCCCAGGAATGGGACTTGCGGGTGGTTTTACATTACCACGTGGGTGCTGGAAATCAAATTTGGATCCTCTGCAAGAACAACAAGTGCTCTTAATGCGCCTTGTCTCCAGCCCCATTTTTCAAGTTTTGCCATATGGTGCCAGACAATGCTTTCCCTTTCGTTAGCAAATACTCTCCAGCCATCCTTGTGCCACCTCATTCCATATTTGGATCTATGCAATCTTCGACCCATGATGGAAGAGTGTTCCACCAGTTCCAACACTGACAACTTGTCGGCAAGAAATCTGCCTAGAATCTGTCATCCCAGGGTTGGCTTTCTTGAGCAGCTTCTTGTGTTGACTCCTGAAGGTTTGTTCTCCAGGGAGCAGACAAAGACAGAGTATAGCATGGAGGGCTTTATTAGGGAATTCCATGGGATCAACACCCACTGAAGGGAAGAGAGGGGAGCTGGAATGGACAGAGGGAGCCAATAAGCTATCTCAAGCCATGTCCATCAGTCACTGGACACAAAATGCCCCCAAGAAGGTGGTATGATCTTGGGGAGATGGCTGTCTTCAGATGCATTTCTGGAAGTGTGATGACAGGTGACAGCTATCCACTAACATCACTCCTAACAAATGAAATAAACACTTTATTCCTGTAGGGGGACCAGGCAGCAGATGGTAGAATTCATTACAATGTGATACTATTTGTTTTTTTGTTTTTAAGACAGGGTCTCTCTACATAGACCTGGCTGTCCTGGCACTTACTATGGAAACCAGGCTGGCCTCAAACTTACAGAAGCCCTCCTGCTTCTACTTCTGAGTGCTAGGGTTAAAGGTGTGGACCACCATGCCTAGCCTGTGATACCATTTCTTTACAGTGCAATGTTGGCGGTTCTCAAACAGTAGACTTGAGAGCTCTTTTGTTTTGCATCTATTTTTATGATGCCTCACTATTTTGGCCACCCTTTCAAATTCAGTCCTCTGACTAGCTCGGACAGTAAGTGTGTGCCATTGAACATGGATCAATAATACTTTCATTTTACAGAATAGTTTAAGAGAATAAAAATTTTAAACACTTACAGTTTTATTTAAACACTCATTTGAGCCTTTAAGTTATACCTTCCAAATATTTAGATATAACATGTGAACCTTTATTTAGATTTTTGCTCTAAGGTTTTCAAATGTGACTGAGAGTCCTGCCCATCCAAAACACATTCTTTGATCTTGGGCTAAACTATACAAGAAAAGTTTATTTATTATATAGAAATCATAAAATACAGATGCGTTTTACAAAACAAGTGGGGCTGATGAGATGGTTCATACAGTTAAGAATACTTGCTGCTCTTTCAGAGGACTTTGGTTTGGTTCCCAGCACCTGCATCGTGGTTCACAATCATCTGTAACTCAAGTTCCAGGGGATCCAACACCGTTTTCTGGCTTCTATGAGCACTAGGCACACACATGGTGCACATACATGCATGCAGGTAAACACTCATACATAAAAATATAAAGGAAGCTGTGATAGCAAATGTCTTTAATACCAGCACTCAAGAGGCAGAGGTAGGTGGATCTCTGTGAGTTCAAGGCCAGCCTTGTCTACATAGTGAGTTTCAGGACAGGCAGGTCTACACAGTGAGACTTTGTCTCAAAAAAATAAATAAAAAAAAATATCTTTTTTAATCTTTAAAAAAATGATAAAATCTCTATCAATCTAACACCCATAAAATTATTAATGTTCTCATAGTACATAAGAATTCATTTTAGAGGCTATTTTTATTGTGTGTGCATGTGTTTATGTGTGTGTGCACATGTGTGGTATGCATGTGCATGAGGAAACCAGAGGTCAACTTGGGTGTCTTCCCAGTAGACTGGTTCTCCTCCTTTTTAGAGGTTTATTTTTTTAAAGATTAATTTACTTTCTTAAAATTCATGTGTATGTGTATATCTGAATGTACACTATCGGTGTGTGGGTTCCCATGGGTGCCAGAAGAGGGTGTCAGATCCCTTGAAGCTGGAGTTTCAGATGGTCGTAAGCTGCCCTACATGGACACTGAGAAATGTTCTCAGGTTCTTAGCAAGAGCAGCAAGTGCTCATAAGGCTAAGCCGTGTCCTCAGCCCTCCACTTTGGTTGTTTTGTTGTTGCTGGTGGTGTTGTTATTTTCAGACACTGTCATTCCCTGAACCTGGAGCTCACCGATTGTCTAGACTGGTTGAGCAGCAAGTCCCAGTGACATCTTGTTCCTGAGTCCACAGTACAGGGATTACAGGCAAACTCTGCCAGTTTAGTGGGTTGTTTTTGTTTTTGCTTTTGTTTTGTTTGTTTGGTTTTTGTTTTGTTTTTTGTTTTTTTGTTTTTTTGGTTTCTCCAGACAGGGTTTCTCTGTGTAATTTTGGTGGTGCCTGTCCTCTGTAGACCAGGCTGGCCTCGAACTCACAGAGATCTGCCTGGATGTGCTGGGATTAAAGGCATGTGCCACCACCACCAGGCCAGTTTAGCTCTTTCCGTGAATAAGGAGAGCCAAACTCAGGTAGGTCCCCAGGACTGCACAGCAAACACATCAACTGAGTCAACCTCCCCAGTCCCTTAGGGATCATGAAATGCACCTTTTTTTCCTTCATAGAAAGCATATATGCTTTTACAATCTGTTTTCCTACTGAGGAGTACATGCCGAATTCTCTGCCATAAACGCATATGTCTATTTTAAATAACCTTATACTTTTTCACCCTTCAAAACAGCTTGAAGATGCACAACTTACTGCAAGCTGATTATTTTATTTGCTCCTAAAGACAGATTTCTACAAATAGAATTATTGGGTGAAAGGGCATACACAGGGCTAGTGAGAGGGATCAGTGGGTAAAGGCGCTTGCTGCCAAGCCTGAAGACCTGAGTTCGATCCCCAGAGCCACAAGGTGGAAGGAAAAGAACAGACTCCTACAAGTGGTCCTCTGCCCTCTGCATGTGCACTATGGCAAGCCCCTTCCCTCGACAGACAGACAGACAGACACACAGACACACAGACACACACACACACACACACACACACACACACACACACACACGCACGCACGCGTGCAACCCGAAAAATAAAATATAAAAGAGGGGAAAAGGAGGAAAAGACATGCATATCTTCAAGGCTTTGAAATGTGCCAATGGACCTTGTACCTGAAGCCAAGGTTCCAAGTGAAGAGAGAATGGTCTGGGGCTCTGATAGGACAGAAATATTACAAATTCTAAAGGAGAGATGTGTATGGCCCTCTGCGCTACTTGCTAAGAACAGTGACAACAGAGGCAAACTCAGACCCAGTCACCTTAGGAAAGGATCAATTAAACACATACGTGTGTGTGTGTGTGTGTGTGTGTGTGTGTGTGTGTGTGTGTGTGTGTATTTTTTTCTGGGCTTAAAGGTATTGCAGTTTTCTATAAACTTTAAGAATCCCACATACATCTTTCACCCTCAAACTAGGCAAAACTTTTTTAAAAAAACCTATTTTCCCTACTAATTTCCTTTTCCTAGTTTCTTTTTGAATACAAGGAAACAAAGTCAGTAGACAAGGAGTGAAATGCTCAGTAACATACCTGATAGGCTGCCAGCCACACAGCTGAATGCTCACACACACATATAGAGGTACCCTTGTCAATACTGTGTGGTGGAAGAAAATTGGAACTTCTCCCTTGTGGATCCCAACGTCACTCTTGATGGTACTGTGAAAACCCACTCCAATCAATCTTATTTAAAAAAATCCTGATGCACTTACTAAAATTTATTTTTCTTTCAACTATATTTTATTAATTCAAAACAATTTTCTTATGCACTTATATAGACACCAGAGTTGGCTATGAAAGAGGACATGTTCCCATGGACTCCACAACCCTAAAAGAAAACTGATCCTCTTTATATGTCCTCAGAATAAGCTGGAGCACTTACTCACCACAAAAGATCCCAGGCACAGTGAGTGACTCAGGCCTACACTCCCAACGCTTGGAAAACTGAGGCTAGGGGATTGCTAGGAGTTCAAGGCCAGACTTGACTACATAGTAAGTCACAAAGGAGAGAATTCTCACTTAAATCCTGTCCTTAGGATCCCCACAGGAACTAATGACATTTCAGATGTTTGTCATCTCGTGCCTCTGCTATGATGGTAGCCTCCTAGCTTGTTTTCCTATCTCTAGTCACCATTCCTCTCCTCGCTCCAACTTGTACTCATCCTGACACAAATCAATCACATTGTTTTCCTTTCATCCTCTGGTCGTGGAAGTCCTTGCTGTTTCTAGGGATAAGCACAATATTCAGACACTCTGGCAGTCGGAAGTGCTCCATAGACAGAATTCATGCTGACTTCCTCGGTCCTTTTTATCTTCTCTCGTGGCCCTCCTGAGTCATTCTACCCAGCTTCTCCAGAACTGGATTTCCCACTTCCTTGCCTTCCACCAATTCTCCATCCTCAAATGGCCTTTTTGACCTTTTGTATCTTATTCAAACACAGCTTGCTTAAAAAGACCCCCTTTTCCATGAAGCATTCCCTGGGCACTGATAAATCGGGCAGCATTTTCTGCTTCCTCTAAGCACTGATAGGAAGCAGCTGTCTGTGACCGGAAGACTCCTGATTTTATTTCTAAACAGATCATAAACCCAAGGATGAAGACAATATCTCTTTCTTGCTTCTTAAAACACACAACTTTATTGATGACATAAAAATAAAGTCTCAAATGTATAAACATAAGTCCACACAAAGGACCAAAGATTACCTTACTTATGAAGAATCAGTTTGGTTTCTGCTCATGAAGCATACTAAAAATATCTCAATCCAGACAAGATAAAAATTGACACATGTATTTCCAGAACAAGCTTGAATTCGTTTGGTGTTCATAAAATTGTCCAGCTATAGGTCCTTATAGGCAACATTAGTTTCAAAATTCTAATGCAATTTACAATGTACAGCATGTCCAGGATGTAAAACCAAAATGTTACTCAAACTCTGGGGAGAACAGAGAGCCAATCAAAGTTTATTTATTAATACCTCAACTTTTTCTTTCACCTCTGGATCACTACAATCTGCTGCTAAGGCTCTAAGTTTCTTGGCACAGGCTTTAGGTCGTTGAAACAGAAAATAAAGGGAACTTTTACTGAACCTGTCTTGGGGATATGTTTTTGCTCTTTTTTTAAAATGACGATTTATATTTTCAAAAAGTAAAAGGGCATTAAGGATGTTCTCTTTTGTCTCCTTCTTGCTAAAGATGTTAATCAGTGCTGTTGGTGCATTGGCAATGAGCAAGTCTTTTGTCATGGATGGATTTTTAGAGAAATTCACAAGCATTCCCAAAACATGGTCTTTAGTTTCTCCACTTCCCATAGCCAACAAACGGAGAAATTCTGAAATGTAGTTGGTAACCATATGCTGATACTCACTAGTAATAGTCAGGTGTCTTATCAGTCTTAGTCCGGCCACTTGCACATTTGAGTTTAAGGGATAGGTGACAGTATCTTCACATACCTGACTTAAATATGTCTTAACCTTCCTATGGTTTTCAGCAGCAACTGAGAGGTTATTCAAGGCATTTAAAGCCTTCTGGCGGACAGTAGGGTAGGGATTACCCAATAAGCTTTGGATAACTGAAATTCCACCTATATTCCGGTCAATTTCCTGCGGAAAAGGATAATCAGCACTGTTATATAGAGCATTCGTGGCTATCTCATGAACAGAAGCATCTTCAGTCATTTCAATCATGCAAATGAGTTTCTCGAGATCTTCTGGATCCAGATTAACATCCCGTTTGCAGCGGCAGTTGCAGGAATGCACCTTGTCTCCAGTATTGACTTGCTTTCTGAAGCCTTCTTCGCCTGGAAAGCTGCTTTGCTGTAATAGCTTACTTTCTGAACAAACTATGGTTCCATCCCATACACCCATTCCTGCCCCAGGGACCATGGATGGATATATGCCTCTTGGTTCAGTGGTCTTTTTGGCTTTCACTTGAGATGTAGACTCGTCCTCACATCTGTTTTCATTACCAGTACAGAACCAAGATCGGATGTCAACTCCATCAGCAGCATCAAACTTCTCTTTAGTGCTGACCTTATCCCCAGTCCCAGATTCAGAATTGGCATCTTTTTCATTTGTAGATCTGAGGTCGTTATTGTCCTCACTGTCAGCCCCAAACAAGTTTCTTAGACTGATCTCTTCAATACCAGGGCTGGATTCTCTACTTAGCTCCTCCTCATCATCATCATCATCATTTACATCTGCAGCGAAAGTCCAAGACCCTAAGCCAGCCTCTACTTCAGTCCCAAGCCTAGACCCTTTAGAGGCTGCATCTCCCTCCCAGGACCAAAACTCCATTCTGGCTTCAGCCCCACCCTGTGCAACAACTCCAACCGCAGCCTCAGCCCCAAGTCTAGACCCTTTAGTGGTTGAGTCTTCATTCCAAAACCAAAACCCCATTCTGGTCTCAGCCCCAACCTCGGCTACAACTCCAGCCCCAGCCTCAGCCACAACTCCAGCCCCAGCCCCAGCCTCAGCCACAACTCCAGCCCCAGCCTCTGCCTCAGCCTCATGCCTAGACCCTTTAGTGGCTGCATCTCCATCCCAGGACCAAAATTCCATGCTGGTCTCAGCCACAGATTCAGCCACAGCCTCAGCCCCTGCTCCAACTCCAGCCTCAGCCTCAGCCTCAGCCTCAGCCCCAAGCCTAGACTCTTTTGTGGCTGCATCTCCATCCCAAATCCAAAATCCCATGCTGGTCTCAGCCACAGCTTCAGTCTCTGCCTCTGCCCCTGCTCCTGTCCCAATTCCAGCCTCAGCCTCAGCCTCAGCTCCAAGCTTAGATCCTTTAGTAGCTGCATCTCCATCCCAGAACCAAAATCCCATGCTAGTCTCAGTCTCAGCTTCAGCCTCAGCCCCTCCCCCAACTCCAGCTTCAGCCTCAGCCTCAGCCCCAAGCCTAGACCCTTTCGAGGCTGCATCTCCCTCCCAGGACCAAATTTCCATTCCAGCTTCAGCCCCAACCACTGCCTCAACTCTAGGACCAGCCTCAGTTCCAGTCTCAGAATCAGTTGCAGCTGCAGCTGCAGCCCCAGCCTCTGCCCTAGTCTCTGCTCCCACCTCGGCCTCAACCTCTGTCTCTGCACCAGCCTCAGGCCCAGCTCCAGCCTCAGGCCCAGCTCCAGCCTCAGGTCCAGCTCCAGCCTCAGGCCCAGCTCCAGCCTCAGGTCCAGCTCCAGCCTCAGGTCCAGCTCCAGCCTCAGGCCCAGCTCCAGCCTCAGGCCCAGCTCCAGCCTCAGGCCCAGCTCCAGCCTCAGGCCCAGCTCCAGCCTCAGCCTCAGCTCCAGCCTCAGCCTCAGCTCCAGCCTCAGCCTCAGCTCCAGCCTTAGCCTCTGTCTCAACTTCAGCCTCGGCTCCAGCCACAGTCTCAGCCTCACCTCCAACACAGGTGCCCGTAATAGCTGTCTCCTCAGTACTGGTCTTCTTCTCATCCCCCAATCCAGAACTAATGGTGGCTTCTTCCTTAGTACCTGACGTGGATTCAACACTGGCCTCATCTTTAAGATCAGCTATAGGCAAAATAGTAGCTTCTTCTGTCCAGCACCAAGACCCTATAAAGGCCTCACTCCCAGGCCCAAACCAAAATCCTTCATTGGCCTCCACCTCAGCACTTACAAGGAATCTTCCACTGGTCTGGTCTTGTGTATCTAGCCTAGATCCTCCACTGGCTTCATTACTAGACCTAGACCCAGGCCAGGATTCTCCACATGCCTGATCTTCAAATCCAGATTTAGAAGAGCCACTAGTCTGATCCACAGGCCCAACCCAGGACCCTCCACTGACCTGACTCCCAGCTCCACCCCAGGAAACTCCTCCACTAGACTGATCCTCAGACACAGCTGGCCTGGACCCTCCAGTGGCCTGGTCCCCAGCACCAGCCCAGAATCCTCCTCCAATGGCCTGATCCTCAAATCCAGGTTTGGAACAGCCACCAACCTGATCACCAGTCCAGGACACACCACTGATCTGAGTCCCAGTGACAAGCCAGGATCCACTAGTAGCCTGGTTCACCTGCACTGGCTTCGACCCTCCAACGTCCTGACCACTAGCCCCACTCCAAGAGCCTCCTCCAATGCTCTGATTCCCAGTGTAAGTACAATACCATCCACTGGTCTGATCTCCAGTGCCAGGCCAAGACTCTCCATTAGATTGGTCCCTGGGCCCCATCCTAGACTCTCCACCAGACTGGTCCCCAGAACCAGCCCAGGATCCTCCTACACTGGACTGATCTACTCCACCAGCAGCCAGTTCTCCAGACCCAGGCTGAGACTCTCCATTGGCCTGGTCCAAAGGCCCAACCAAGAACCCTCCACTGAGTTGGTTTCCAGAATCTGCCCAGGATCTTCCAGCAGACTGATCCTCAGGCACTGACTTGGACCCTCCACTAGCCTGGCCAACAGTGCCAGTCCAAGACCCTTCATCACTGGTCTGATTCTCAAAACCAGGTTTGGATCCACCATCAGACTGATCTGCAGACCCTGATGTAGATACTCCACCAGCCTGGTCCCCAGTGGCAGCCCAGGAAGCACCACCAGATGGATCTACAGTCCCAAGCCTGGATGCTGCACTAGCTTGGTCTGCAGTCTCAGTCCAAGACCTTCCACTGGACTGATCCTCAGGTCCCAACCTGGACTCTCCACTGGTCTGGACACCGGCTCCAGCCCAGGTCCCCTTTTCACTGGCCTGATCTTCAAACCTTGGCTTGACCTCACCCCCAGCCTGATCACCAGTCCCTGTCCAGGACACTGCATTGGTCTGGTCTACAGCCCCAGTCCAGTATCCAATACTAACTATATTGCCAGCTCCCGTCCAAGACACTGCACCAGCCTGATTGTCAGCCACAGTCCAGGTCCCAGTAGCCTGGTCCACTACCCAGGACACTCCACTGGCCTGGACTGCAGGCCATGACCCGTCACTGACCTGACTCACAGCCCAGGGCCCTGCAATGGCCTGGTTTCCAGAGACAACCCAAGAACCTGCACTGATCTGGTTCTCAGCCCCAGTCCAGGAGCCTCCAGTGGCCTCAGTAGCCTGAGCTCCTGCCCAGAGTGCCCCACTGGCCTGGTCACCAGCACCTACCCAGGACCCAAGAGCAACCTCATTCTCAGTCCTAGCCCCAGTCCAGGACTTAATGCTGTTTTCATCACAAGCCACAGCCCAGGAACTAACAATGCCAGTCTTCTCATTAGCCCCACTCCAGGGCCCGACATTGGCTGCATTCTCATCATCAGTCCAGGATACAGTATTCTCCCAGTCTCCATCCATGGTCTGAAACCTAAATTTGATCCACCGCTCGGCAGCAATCCAGTCCTCAACACCAATCCCATTCCAGTAATAATCGTGCATGTTAGGCTGAGCACCTACCCCACTCACAATTTCAGAAGTGGGCACAGCACCTGCCACAGGCCTTGCATACATCTTATTGTCTACAGTGGCTCCTACCTGTGAACCGGACAGACCTTTATCCCTTGCCCCAAGCAAGGCTTCATTCTGGGAACTGACCACAGCCTGGGGCTGAGCAGAGCTCCTTGGACCTGTTTTGGCTCCTGATTTAGTACTAGCATTGGATCTGACCTTATTCCTGGCACCAAGCAAAGTCTCATTCTGGGAACTGACCACAGCCTGGGACTGGGCAGAGCCCCTTGCACCTGACCCAGCCTCTGCCTTAGGCACAGTGTTGGAATTGCCCCTGACCTTATTTCTGGCACCAAGCAGGGCCTCCGCCTGGGAAGAAGCCAAAGCCAGTATTGTACTTGCCCCAGCCTCTGCCTTAGGCACAGCATTGGGATTACCTTTAACCTTACTCTTGGAACCAGGTACGGTCTCGCCCTGGGAACTGACCACAGCCTTGACAGAGCCCATCGTACCTGCCCCAGCATCTGGTTTAGACCCAGCACTAGAATTGCCCTTGGCCTTAGTCTTGGTACCAGTCAAGGCAACACCCTGGGAAATGGCCACAGACTGGGGACAGGCACCCACCCCAGCCTCTGCCTTAGGCACAACATTGGGATTGCTCTTAACCTTATTCTTGGCACCAGGTAAGTTCTCACTGTGGGAAGTGGCTACAGTCTGGGACTGGGCAGAATCCGTAGTGTCTGGTCCAGCCCCTGCTTTAGGCACAGAATTGCGATTACCCTTGACCTTATTCTTGGCACCGGGTGCACTCTCACCCTGGGAACTGGTCACAACATTGGTCTGGGCAGAGCCCACTGTAGCTGTCCCAGCCTCTGCCTTAGGCACAGGATTTGGATTGCCCTTGACCTTATTCTTAGTACCAGGCAGGGCCTCATTCTGGCAACTGTCTGCCTTTGCCCCTGCTTTAGACGCGGCATTAGAGTCACTTTTGCTATCAACCTTGGAATCAGACAAGGTCTCAGCTTGGGTTTTCGTCCCAGCTTGAGGCTGTGCACACGTTTTCACATCTGTTGCAGCTCCTGCCTTACACTTGGCTTTGGCTTTGCCTCTAGCCTTACCTTTAGTATTAGGTAAGACTTCACCTTGGCTCTGGGCCGTAGCCTGAGCCCCTTCCTTACATATGGCATTGGCATTGTCCTTAGCCTTGATTTTACCATCAGGCAAGTCATCACCCTGGACACTGGCCACAGGCTCAGTCTGGGTACAGAAAACCACGTCTCCGCTAGCCTCTGCCTTAGCCACATCGCTGGGATCACTTATGTTTTTATCCTCGGTATCAGGCAAGGCATCAGTCTGCGAATTGGTTTTCGTGTTTGCCTTGGTCCCTGCTTTAGCCATGGCAGTGGCATTACCTTTACCCTTAACCTTGGCATCAGGCATGGCTTCAGGCTGGTCACTGGTTACAGCTTGAGGATCGGTATCAGTTATGTCAGCACCAGTCACAGCCTTAAAGACAACATTGGCATCTTCCCCGTCCTCAGTCGTGGTGGCACCAGACGTTGTCTCAGCCTGTATCGTGGCCACAGTCTCAGGCTGTATTATACAAGTTGTCATATCTGCCTCTGCTTCACAAATGTCATCTGTATTATCACAAGCATCATCCCTTGCCTCTGGCATGGCTTCAGCCAGAATGTTGACAACAATAGGGGGCTGATCGGAAGCCTTTGTATCTACCCCAGACCCTGCCTCAGACGTGCTTTTGAGAGTCCCCTTGTCGTCAACCTCATCACCGAGCATGTCATCATTTTGGATTCTGTCCACAGCCTGAGACTGTGCATAGGACTTCACGTCCACTCCAGCCACTACAAGGGGCATATCAATGGGATTTTCATTAGTATCAACTGTGACACCAAGCCTAGTCTCAGATTGAGTTCTAGTCACACTCACAGTCTCTTCCAGTGTTCTTATCGTGGCTTCTGCCACAATTCCAGTCTCATTCATGGTTCCAATCTTGACTACTTCCTTGGTCACTGCCAAGACCTCACTCTGAGTCACTGTTACTCTGTTAATCTCTGTCTCTTTTTCAGCCATTGGAGGAGCTTCTGCTTTGGTCTGGGTCATTGCTTCTTTCTTGACCTCTGCCCTGCCAGCCATTTCCCAAGCTTTAGCTTTGGTCTGCGTCACTGCCTCTTTCTTGCCTACTTCCTCAGTCTCAACTTCAGTTTGTGTGACTGCCTCTTTCATGGTTACTTCTTTGGCTTTGGCTGTGGCTTCAGTAAAAGTCACTGCGTCTGTCATGACCACAGTTTCCACCAATGAACTGGTCTCAGAATGAGTCTCTACCTCCTCCTCAAGCATTGTCTCGGCCTGACAGGTGACACTGGCTCTAGCTAGAACAGGGACATTGGGATCTGCTTCGGCCACAGGCTCACCTCCTTCTCCAGTTTCTGGTTCAGTCTTGACTCTAGTTTCTGCTCCAGCCATGGCTTCACCTGTGGCCACGGTCTGGTTCTGTACCCCAACCTCAGTCTCCGTCTCGATCCTGGACCCATTTCTGGCAAATCTGCTCCCACTCTGAGATCTTCCCTTGGTTAATCTGTAAATGCAGTAGCAAGTGCCAGCCCAGATCACCAGTCCTGCAGTTGCCCAGCCCACATCCTGAACTCGGCCCATGTAATCACCCCTGCTGAAGGCAGGAACAATGTATTGGGCTCCCTCAGGCTACGAAGGAGGATGGTGTGTCTGAGCAATGGTGTTTAACCACTTACAGGCCTGGAGAGCTGCCACTCAAAGTAGACCTAGAAGTGGAAGAAGGAAATGAATGTAACCATCTCTTCTAACTCTACGGCATTATACAGATAGATACAACCAGGAACAGGAAAGGGTAGAAATGATGTACTTGTTGGGAGAAGAGAAAGATCAACAAACTTTTCATCATTTCTTCCTACCCTCCCCAGTGTCCAGCCATTTTCGTATGCCAAATGAATTGTGTCAAGGATGGCAGGAGGGCTGATGACGGACAGATGAGGAACAGAAACTCCCAGAACTAGATTTTTAAGGGATCTTCTCTGGTTGCCATTATCACAGGTCCCCACTGACACAAACCTGGAATGAATGAATGAAGTCTCCTCTTCTATCCTTCTTTTGCTCAGTGAAACACCCTAATGTACATACAGGCACGAGACCTTTAGACCTAGAGAAAGGCAGACAAAGAGGAGTGAGTTCTTGATGGAGCAGTCATTTTATCAGCAATTTACTCCCTCTGGTTACCCAATGTCCTTAGCTGCTGTCAGGCTCTTTTTCCATGGACCGGAACTAAGGTAAAGGTTCAGGGGAAATACCAGGAATGGTGAGAACGATGACTGTGAAAAAAGAATAAAAAGCTCCCCCAGACTGTCCCTCCTGGAATGCACACTGGTCTCCACTAACCCACATTCGAGGCATGCCTAGACAGTCCCCACCCTCTTACCAGTTCTAGGGATCAGAGATAATTTCGTCTTTGCTTCCTCCTTCCAGCGATCTCAGACTCTGAAGCAGACATGCAGGAGGAGCTATAGGCAAGCAGATAAACAGGAGATAATGGAGACTGTGTCCTTAGTAGAACAGATAAGCACCCTAATTCTCGGTTGCAATGCCTGCATCGCCAGGGTCCTGGTCCATTTTAACAACATATCTTATCTTGTGATTCCATCTCTAGCCTTCTTTGTCACAGCCCAGTCCACCCTCCCTCAAATATTCCCACCGTTTCCTGCACTGAAATTAACAGGTTGTATTGCAGCATTGTGGAAAGCAGCCATGTGTAGACAAGGCAGAAGTGCCATTCACTGAAGCCCTTTCAAGCTCAGCCCACCCTCTTTTGTCATCCCCAGCCACTACCCACCTTCGTATCAACCTCCATAGTTCCAAAACAGTCTCCCCCTCTTTCCCTTGCTTCCAGGACTAAAAAGCCCTACTTCAAACATGAAAAGCCCTGGGAACAGACAAAGAAAAGAGAGAGGGTGAGTGCTGAGTGCTTTTGATAGCCAAGCATGAAACATCTGTGTCCCCCGACCCTGCCTTTCGGGATTTAGAGAGTCGGGCATAACCTAGGGCTTCATCTACACTGAAATGAAACACAGAGAGGGAAAGAGAAAAAAGAAAAGCGGGGGAAAGGAGAAAATTTATTTTTTAAACCACCTGTAGGATTCTAGATCTTTCCTCAAAAGTCCACCATTTCCTTTATCAAGATGGTCAGGTAGACATGACTATCTGAAAATTGGAGGATGGCGGAAGAGATGGAGGCCCCACATCCCATGATTCTTCAATCACAGCCTGCCATCTGCTTCCCTGAAAGCCATTTCTAGGAGTCTCAGCACAAGATACAAGGTGTGGAGGAGGGCTTTTGCCTCTGCAAAATCATTATCCCATCCCCCAAAGCCTCCATCAAACAATAGTACCGTTCTTTTACACAAGAATTTGTATTTTTCAATATCACCTGACATAAATCAAAATAATCTGTAATATATTGGTATTCACCATAGAATTTAAGGAAAAGTCCGACGCCTGATAAGGAAACAAAGCTTAGGTAAAGTTCCCAGGCTAGCCCCACCCCACATCCTAATCACATATAAATACAATATATTCAAATACACACACACACACACACACACACACACACACACACACACATATATATAACAGTGCCTACGTGGCTGCATAGAATCCATACAGAACTTCAACGGTTCAGTGTTGGTGCTCACACTAACCTCCATGGAGCCTGTGCGGTTCTCTTGTCTCTGTCTCCGTTTTTCCCTCGCCTCACCACAGACACATCGAACTATTGTCCAAAAGGAGAGAGTAAAGGCACTGAGTGCTTAGGCCAGCACCAACGCCACACATCCCAACACTCTCCTTTTTGGAATCCGGTTGTCAAAGGTCCCTCCCCTCATTCTGAGACACCACCCCTACCGAGCCCGCCGTCCAGGCACTAAGGCCCACCATTTTCTCAGCAAATGCCACGGTGGCGCGCGTCCCTCCTCTGAAAGGAGCAGGAAGCCCGCGGACATGTGCGGGCGCCCATTGATGGAGTTAATTAAAGAGGATGGACATCTCCCTCTGCATTTCCCTCTAGAGACTCTGCCCACCAGCGGCCCTGTCAAAGCACAGGGTTCCCTTGCGCAGATTCAGCCAGGGGCTGGGGGACGCGGGAGAATAGGAGGGGAAGGGCTCCTTGAACTTGATCCAGCATGGACACCCCCCCTCCTCAATCTATCTCCGTAGCCCCGCCGGATCCGGAGACTGCGGCGAGCAGGGCCGTGGCGCGGCCGCTCCGGGCCCCTTACCTGATCAGCTCACCCCGGGCCCGATGCCAGCCCGCCGCGCGCGGGGCAGCGGGGAGCTGGAGACCAGACGCGAGTGACGACTGCACCCAAGGCTGCGTCGCTCTGCAGCTCCAGGTCACGTGAGGGCCGCGCGTCATCGCTCTCCCTCCCCCTCACAACCCCCCACTGGTCGGAAGGCAGTCAACAGGACCCCCTTCAGCCTGCACAGGCGCCCCCCTCCTCGCATCTTTGCGCGGAGCCCCAGCGCGCCCCGCCCTGTCACTCATCTCCGCGCTCTCCAATCTGAGCGCCCACAAGTGTCATCACCATGTAGCGGTTGGAGTTTACCGGTCCCTGGTTACTAGGAAGGGTCTGTACCCCCACCCACTCCCAGGCCTTGGCTGGAGCCTTTTCTGCATCTTTGAGGAAGCCTTTCTTTTCCTCTCAGGATACAATACCAACGCTCCCCCACCGGCTCTCTATACAACCTGCCTTCCCTTAGTAACAACCCCCCACCAAATCGCCTGGAGAAAGAGGAAAACCGTGCAACCAGAGCCTTCACTTTCTTTGTCTGTATTCCTTTTTCTATCAACATCCTTTTCCCCCCCGCGATGGGAAACTGCGGTAAAGACATTTTCATTCGCCATGAGAATATTCAGGTTGTAAAAATTTTAAAGACTCATCCGTTTATACAATTTTATGACACTTTAAAAAAATGTTTTCTAGTTGCTATAAACTACTTCTGAGCTTTGAAAACAGATGCAATTACTGACATTTTAAATACAATTTTTTCCTAAACAAAGCCAGCCCGTTTTTCAATGCAATCGGCAAATTCATCTTTGCAAAGACGTTCAGATTTCAAAACTTGATAGTTTCACAGAAATAATGGAAAGCTTTTGAGGTTTCAGCTGTATTTACCTTTGCCTATCAGGTGCCTGAGTACTTCTTTCACAGAGGACCCTGGATACTTTAACAAAGACCAAACCCAGATGAACCTGGTGCCTTACAAACTAGTGAGTGACTTCAAAGGTTAACCTGTTTTGTATCCTATACTGGGCTTTTTAAAAAAAAAATTTACATCAGTCTCACCACACCCACAAAAGGAGCAAGTGCTACCACATAGATAGAAAGGAGACTTAACAGGTGGAATTTTCATCCTATCATGGCACTGGTGAGGGCTCCCCAGATTCTGCCATTTCTGTTCTGTCTGTCACCGTGATGGTGGCTATTATTCAGCAATTTCCAGCGGCAATGGGCATGAAGGTCTGTGGATGACTGCATATTGTTAGAACACCATGGCCATGACTATTTCCCCTCACAAATGGGAGAACAAAGTCCAGGATTCCTGCCTTCCTAAATAACTTCAGTGCACCATCCTTACAAAACCTAGAACTCAGGAACAAAATATGCAGGAGAGTCCCCAGGCACCCACCTGTTTCCACTGGGGAAATACTCCAAATATAACCATCCAGGCAGCCTCCTTCTTAGAATGTTGAAATACGACACCCCAGCCCCGGGCCCTCCCTGATGAGGGGCCCCTGCTTGGAGGAGGCCCTTTCAGGAGGTGAGCCAGGGAGCTCATAATGCCTTAAAACATTACTAATGGATTTTCAGAATTCAAAATTTACTTTCTCTACCAAAGAAAAGAATTCATCAATAGATTAACATAAAAATTTAAATCTGTGTTCATTTTCAAAAAGAAGCATTGTATGCCAAAAGACTAATTGTAGCTTAAATATCCTTACAAATCATTAATAAAATAACCCAGATAGAAAAAAAAAGTGCCAAAGACTTAAACAGATTTGTTCCCTGAGGAGAAATACAGAAGATCCAAATGTTCAATAAACATAAAGATGTTCGATTTTAAAAACATGCAAATCAAAACAACTGTGACTTACTATGTTTTAGCTATGACATCGAAGTTTAGAAACTCAATAATATCATTGACTATGTTGTGTGAATATGGAGATTCCTATACTCTGTTGGAGGTGGATATTCCAATTCAATCTTTTTATGGAGGGCAATTTGGCAAAATCTATTAAACAATAAATTTAACGGCCTACAATTCTTTCCTGTGGTAATTCTATTCTCTGGCATTTAGTTATACATATCCTTACAGAATGACGTGTGTGTGTGTGTGTGTGTGTATAGTTGCCACACCCAACTATGATATTTCTTGCAGGAATAAAAAATGCTGTGACAGGCTAGAGAGATGGCTCAGCAGTTAAGAGCACTTACTGCTCTCTCAGAGGACCTCAGTTTGGTTTCCAACACCCACATCATGTGGCTCACAACTCCAGAAGGCTCATTTCCCTCTTCTGGCCTCTGAAGACATGGGCACACACATGGCATGCCCCCACATAGAAACACACACACACACACACACACACACACACACACACACACAAAGTTCAAAAGTGTCATAGGCTAGAGAGATGGCTCAATAATTAAAGGAGTACTGGCTGCGCTGGGCACGGTGGCACACACCTTTAATCCCAGCGCTTGGGAGGCAGAGGCAGGCAGATCTCTGTGAGTTCGAGACCAGCCTGGTCTACAAAGAGAGTTCCAGGACAGCCAGGGTGGTTACACAGAGAAACCCTGTCTTGAAAAACAAGGGGAAAAAAAAGCACTGGCTGCTCTTCCAGAGGACCAGGGTTCAATTCCCAGCACCCACATGGCAGCCCACAACTGTGTGTAATTCCAGTTCCAGGAGATCTGACACCCTCACACAGACATATATGCAGGAAAATCCATTACTTCTCATAAAAATAAAAATAAATAAATCGTTTTAAAAGTACCGATAGGGGAGAGAAGTGACTTATGATAGATTTTTACAAGTATGCTGAGAGGACATTTAGACTAATTCCATTATTTACTGTTTATTTCCTATAAGTACAAGTAAATCATTTCCCCTTATTTGTTTTCTTTATTCCTTTTGAGACAGGATCTCACTCTGTAGGCCAGGCTGGCCACAAACTCATATCAATCCTCCTGCCTCAACTCTCCAAATGTTGTAATCGCAGGTTGTACCACTATGCCTTGCTCTGTTTTCTGCTTTTTAAGAGAGGCTCGCCGGGCGGTGGTGGCGCACGCCTTTAATCCCAGCACTCGGGAGGCAGAGCCAGGCGGATCTCTGTGAGTTTGAGGCCAGCCTGGGCTACCAAGTGAGTTCCAGGACAGGCGCAAAGCTACACAGAGAAACCCTGTCTCGAAAAACCAAAAAAAAAAAGAAAAAAAGAAAAAAAAAAAAAGAGAGGCTCTTACTATGTAGGTCAAGCTAGCCTCAAATTTATGACTCTTTGTTCTCCACTTCCTGATCTGGAATTACAGGCATTTGTTACCACAGCCAGCTCAAGTCACATTTATTATCTTTTGTCCTGACCATCACTTCATATGCTAACTGATCATTGACACTTCCTGTCTGAAAATGTTACCCATATCTTTCTCTGTTCACCTACATTTCCTCATTGATGGTAGTGCTTGCACATCTCTGTCTCATAGTTATTTTACTGTTATATAGGATGCACATATATTCTCTCATTCTCTCACTATCATCTTAATTTTACAGCACATTCAACATTTAATGATCAAATAGTTTCACTGTTTCCTGTGTGGCTCCTGGCACTATATATACACACCCAAATCTCAGCACCATTCACAAAAAACAGTCCATTAGTGCCACAACTAACTTAAAAAGATGATGCATCATATGTGAAATCCTCATTTGTGGTCAGATCCGTTTCACTGGATTTTGTGTTCCGCTGATATATGTATCTCTTACTACCTTAGAATTAGTATATATTCCTAGCAAGTATTGGTGTCTGGAGAAATCCTCAAATGTTATGCTTTTTTTTTTTTTTTGAGATAGAGTCTTACCATATAGCTTTGGCTGGCCTTAAACTCAGAGAGCTCTGCCTTCCTCTGCCTCCCAAGTGCTGAGACCTGCACCACCATGGCCCGCATAGATAGTATAGTCACCTCCTCAAACATTTAGCAAAGTGAGCTAAAGTCTTCTCTTTCAGCTATTTGAAATACACAATGCATTATTGTTTCCTACAGTCCCTGTGCTGTGCAAGCATGCATACCAGGGTTCATTTCTCCTCTCTATGTAACATTGTACCGTTGACCAACCTCTGTCTATCTTGACCAACCCTGTCCTATCTATTTGTTCCTCAGCCTCTGGTAAACACTGTTTTACTCTCAACTCCTATGAATTCAGCTTTACAGATGAAAAGATGTAGTATTTTTCTTTTAATGTCTGGCTTATTTTACTTACAACACTGTTTTTCAGGCTCATCCATACAATTCAACACTCTCTTGTGACCTCCATGTGCCCATCCATGCATGTGGTACACATACATACTTTCAGGCAAAACGTTACTAAACACAAAATAATACATCTCAAATTTTAAAGAAACTAGAAAATAACCTGCGAAATTACAGTGTGTTAAGCTGTTGGTGATTGTGACGGCTGTTCTTGGTTGTCAACTTGACTACATCTGGAATTAACCAAGACCCAAATGACGTGGTGTGGGTCCCCGACCTGGATCAGCAGTTGTGCACTGGAAATCTCAGGATGCAGAGGAGCCCAGGAGCTGGGGAGCAGGGTCTCTGGCAGCAGGAGACTGTTTCAGAGGACAGTTTGTTTACTGGAATGGCAGGGCTAGCTTGTGGGGGCAGGGAGGTCAAGGGGGAGGGGCTGCAGCTAAGGGGGGAGGGGCCGCAGCTAAGGGAGGAGGGGCCCCAGCTAAGGGAGGAGGGGCCACAGCTAAGGGGGGAGGGGCCACAGCTAAGGGAGGAGGGGCCGCAGCTAAGGGAGGAGGGGCCGCAGCTAAGGGAGGAGGGGCCGCAGCTAAGGGAGGAGGGGCCGCAGCTAAGGGAGGAGGGGCCGCAGCTAAGGGAGGAGGGGCCGCAGCTAAGGGGGGAGGGGCCGCAGCTAAGGGAGGAGGGGCCGCAGCTAAGGGAGGAGGGGCCGCAGCTAAGGGAGGAGGGGCCGCAGCTAAGGGAGGAGGGGCCGCAGCTAAGGGAGGAGGGGCCGCAGCTAAGGGAGGAGGGGCCGCAGTGAAGGGAGGAGGGGCTGCAGCTAAGGGGGGAGGGGCCGCAGCTAAGGGAGGAGGGGCCGCAGCTAAGGGAGGAGGGGCCGCAGTTAAGGGAG